CCCCCCCCCCCCCCCCCGCCACCTAAAAAAAAATCTTGGATCCGCCCCTGTAGAGAAACTACCACTGACGTAGCAAGATGGAAGTGGGACACCTTATGACATCGACACAGTCTGCAATATATCGCACATATGAATTCATTGTTGTTTACTGTACCTTTTTTTTTGTTTTTTTGTTTTTTAAATTTTTGTTTACCCAGCACTACAAAAAATCGATAACGACAGCTTTTGATCAATTTCCTGACGCAAACTACGTTGTGATTTTGGAAGAAGATCTCGCCATATCTGTTGATATTCTCAGCTACTTCAAACAGCTTCTGCCAGTCTTGGAAAACGACGAGAGTGTTTATTGTATATCAGCTTGGAACGATCAGGTTAGCGAAATCAATCGGGAGATACCGGTGGAGGGCAATGGGGTGAGCGTGGGTGTACTGTGCAAGCCTCTCTTGGAGCAAGACAAAATTGATATGTCCGATCGAGGTTTTGAATTCCTGTGGTTCTTTCCCTCTCTATTCTTGAATTGTCTTGTCTTGACTTTCTCTCCCGTGTCGCTCCAGAGCTCAGGCTGCCGAAGAAGCTTATTCGATAGATATACAAAATATGTTATAACGATCACTAATTCTAACTCTGTGTAATATACGGATACGTACTGACTCTACGTTGCAAATATGAACGCTTAAACTGTTGCAGCTTTTAAGCTATCTTAAAGTAGCTTGCTATGACGCCGGGGATTTACGAGATGAAGAGAATATTGGGACTGAACTCTTCCGCAGGACCCAGTTGATCGAAGGCCGATTAGCGCTTAACCCGGGGTTAAATTTAACTCGGGTTTCTCTTTCTTGTGTTCAAAAGCATTTTCTCAGATAATTTTCTCTGTTATATTTAGAGCTTTCAATCATCAACTTGTAGACAAAAAGAATTAAAACTGAAATGCTTTTTAAGCTTTCAAATCTGAATTCAAATTTCGCACTAACCCTGGGCTATCTTAACCCGGCTTTGAACAACTCGGCCCTGGGCTTCTTATCAATAATCAGCTTGATAAATCACAATAAATTTACCACGTGCCAAGAACGCTTGACACAGACAAAGCTCAGGAGTAATTTGATTTATTGACAGAGAATATATGTGATATTTTCCTTTGATTTTCCCAAAGGGCTATGATTACACTGTAGGCGATCCTTCTATGACATACAGGATTGAAACAATGCCAGGTCTTGGATGGTAAGTATGGTAACCATGGAAACTATCAAACGCAGGAATGTTCTCAGTTATAGACTGTTCACAGTCCCCTATTTTTCCGTGAGATCGTCGAGATGTAGCGCGTCCTACCATTAATGGCGGCCGTCTTGATTTTCAAATAGTAGTTTTGACACTCATGCAATTGCAAGATGGCAGCCCGTAACGCAAAGCGCCCGATCTCGACGATCTTACGGGATAATAGGGCACTGTGAACAATCTGTGTCAGTTAATTTGTATATCATATTTGAGTCTTTCGCGTGACGTCATATCCGTCATGTTGGTGTCCCAAAAAAATCTTGTGAGAGTTGAACTCTTTTCTCATCTAAAAACTTTCTTTTGCTCCGATAAAATTGCATTCTTGCTGATTACACTGTAATCAGCATTCATTCATTCATTCATTCATTCCTTACTGCTGACCACGTGAGTGAAAAAGCTCTTTATAATTAAATCATACAATGGAAAATGAAGGGGTCACAAGGGATGAAAATTGACAAAAATTTTCACTACCAACACAATTTCTGGAGGCGCTGTGCTGAAAACTAAAAAACAAGATCGTTGAGGAAGGTTGTTTTTATATGCACTGTGAGCCTTCAGAGGACGTCAAATATATGGCAAAACAACCATTGTCTTTCATTTTCTTTAACCGTATAGCCTTAATCTCGTTTTTTGAAGTAATGCTGACATTAAACTTGCTTATATTCCAGGGTGCTTAGTCGAAAAATCTACAAAGGTGAACTGGAGGCCAAGTGGCCTGCCCCTGATGTGTTCTGGGATTGGGACATGTGGATGAGAATGCCCAAACAAAGAAAAGACCGTGAATGTATAATCCCAGATATTTCTCGTACCTACCATTTTGGCGCCAAGGGACTGAATGTGGGCCCGGCCATGAATGAAGCTTATTTTAAGAGACATGCGTTTAATACTCAACCAAGTGTTAAGATAAACGCTGATATCACGTACAAGGAAAAATATGAAGAGGAGCTACACCGACTGATAAGGTATCATTCCTAAAAGATTCTGGAAAATTGCCTGCTTACCCCTCACCTAACCAAATATTTTGGGCTATCCCGCACCTATTTGAAAGATTGTTTTTGATAAGCTGGGAAAACAATAGGGATTGTCACGTAACAATGGCTCTATCCCTAAAAATGAGGTTTAAAACGGTGCAGGTCTACTGAATATTTTGCCCTAAATGAAAAGTTGGTCTTAACTTTGGGTAGGAATCCATTAAAAGGAGCGAGCAAACTTGTCCCGGAGTTAACACAGACCGGTTTATTTTTGTGTTAGACACATTTTAAGGACCTTTTCCACCCTAATATGGAGCGCATTCAAAGTGTAAAAACTTAAAAAAGAAAATCTGAAAGAAATTAAATACAAATTTTACAGGGTAAGCACGTGTTGCTCGATTTGTGATTTTTTCGCAGGCCTAGTGTAGTTCGGTCAAACTTTTCGCTAGGTTTGTTTCGTCTTTTTTTGTTTGGTATTGTTATTTTTCTTAAGTTTTGAAATCGTTGAGTTTTGTCATATCGTCGAAACAGTCCTGAACACCCTAAGTGAGTCCAAAATTTGCGATTTACACCCGTTACCGAGAAGAAGAGCATTCCGTCTAGTCACTTTTATATAAGAAACCCTCCCCCTGGATTGACGCTTACCAAAGATTCCATCCTACGCCTTGATTTGTAGTAACCAGAATTGAAAAAAAGCCTCACAATACAACTACATCCTTCCAGACGTTCACATTTGAACTGAAAACTAATTATCTCTATTTTCGTTTTTTCTCTCCCCTCAGTCAAGCCGAACTTTTAGATCACTCCAGGACTCCTTGCACGAATCCCAAAGACTTTGTCCCTGATACAAAAAACAAGATTTACCTGTTCTACATCCGCATGGACCGCCCTAACGACTATACGACGTGGATAAACGTTGCGCGATGTTTTAGAATCTGGGATCTAGACGCTCGCGGATTTCATAAAAGTTTGTGGAGAATGTGGGTCAAGGGTAATCATGTGTTATATATTGGATGCCCGGCGTCACCTTACTGTACTCACAAACCAAATGACTTGGAACCTATTTATATGCCGAATAGAGAAACAAGACCAGCGGACGAGAACTTCTTCGCCAGATGATGTTTTTCAAGATTGACATGCAAGGTTTTATAATCATAAATTGACTTAGCTTTGAATCCGACCAACAGCTCTTCGGATAAGGAATTTACAAAAAAAATAATGGATTATTTCTAATTGTTTTAAAAATTAAAGAAGATTCTTTTCAGTGGTAAAAGGATTTTGTATACAAGACTCGAAGATTACAAGGATGAAGGGTTTACCTTCTGAAAAACTGTAGTGTTGTGTCCGCGGGGGAATCAAATGCAAAAATTGATTTATGAACTGAGTATAGTTTATAAAGAAGATTGGCCACCGTAAGGGGATTAAAGAGCTAACGCTTCAAGCGCTAGTCCTTGTTCAGAGCAAAGGGCTATGGCGTTCGTAGAGCTCGTAGAGCTGTATCGTTTTTTTCGAACTGAGACTAGTCTAAGAACTTTTAAGAAAAACTGCGAGATGATCTGATATGCTCTCAGTCACGTTTCTTAGACAGTCATGTATTCGCTATTTATGTGCCTTAGGGTAATTCATCTGAAAGTCTATGAAAAGTCTGAAACTACTTTCAG